CTCTGTCTGGAAACTTCAATTTTTGATTGTAATTAGGAGTTATGTTATGATATTTATGAATATACATATTCCTCTCTCTCTCTCTCTCTCTCTCTCTCTCTCTCTCGCTCTCTCTCGCTCTAGTCTTTGTCTGTCTGGCAGAAAATCCCTTTGTTCCAAGTTATTCTTCGAATTGTTCCGTCTGATTTTTGGACCCTATCCACGATATGTTTATAACTTCCTGCATACTTGTAGCTTCTGATCCGTGCCTCAGAATGGCATAATACTTGTTGATTTCAAACCCACACAACCTGCAACGTTCCATTTTCCTCAGGATAACACCATGTTGACTCAACTAATCCATCAAGGGCCTGATTGTAATAAGTTCCGCTAGCGTCAAAAATCTCCCAGCTTATCCCCTTAGATGTAACCAATTTATGATATTTTTCAGGCTCAACTAATCCGGTTGGTTACTAATATAATAAGCGCAAACCATGTGGGCAGAATGTTCACAATGCGGCACAAATCTCTCTCTCTCTCGCTTTCTCTCTCTCTGTCTCACTCTCTCTCTCTCTCTCTCTCTCTCTCTAAACCCCTCCCCGACTCTCTCGCTCTAACGTCCTATTTAGCGCTGCCGATCTCTCGCTGTCTCTCATGCTCTCACTTTTTCACGCTCACGGTCTCTCTCTCCCTCTTTCTCTCTCTCGCTCTTTCGCTGTCTCTCTCACTCTCTCTAAACTCCTCCCCTACTCTCTCGCTCTAACGTCCTATCTAGCGCTGCCGATCTCTCGCTGTCTCTCATGCTCTCACTTTTTCACGCTCTCGGTCTCGCTCCCTCTCTCTCTCTCTCTCTCTCTCTCTCTCTTTCTATACCCTCTATCTCTCCACCCAATCATAGACTTCGCTAATTAGCGTTTTCTCCAGGCACTTTTTCCGCCTATTTTTTGGGGTTGATCTACCGAGACGGGGCCCGAGATAAACATGGGGATTACCGCCCCGGTGTCCCCTGAAATCTGGTCGATACGTGGAGATTTTTGGGCCCGGATTTTCAGGTGCCCTTCCCCCTCTCTACTCGCCAGTTTTTGGTTCCCCGTCTAGGCAGGTTTTGTTGATTTTTGGGCGTCGTGCTTGTTATTGCTATCCTGGGGGTTATAAACTACGGCACACGGGATGCCGGAAACGCTTCCGGAAGGGGCAGTAAACCTTGAACTCTTGCAAATATGACGGTACTCATCATTCGTACTATTTTGCACTGGTCCTGGAGCGCACCTGCCTGTCTAGGCCTTTGAAGGGTTTGTTTTGCCTCCTTTTTGCTACTTAAACACATCGTTAAAGGTATTTCCAAGCACTGATTAAGTTTGCCTACTAATTTAAGGAGCAAAACTTCCTATAACGTGTTTATTTAGTTCGGCAGTCCAAGGGGGTTAGCCAAGAATTGTCGTTATTTATAGCGTCTTGCTTTTTCTATATCTTTAAAGATTTCTGAGGTATTTAAAGGTAAGATGTTTTTGTAGCACAGTTTTTTGGCTCATGAAATGAAGCTTCTTTATTGATTCGATTTCATCAAAGGTTTTATGTTTATGTTTCCAAGAGGCTTCGAGATTTCAAAAATCACACGCTTCTAAAAAACACGACTTTGATTTCGATACTTTTCTCGAACATGCGATTTTTGTAGTCAAAGTTACATTTATGTTTGGTATACCCACACCAGGCTGTCAGGAAACTGCTTTTAAGGCATCAGAGATACGCCATTAGGTGCGCAATATCCTCAAAAAGATCGCAAAACCTAAGAGATGTTTAAAAAACTGTTATTGTTGCCATCAAAATGAAAAAACGAAAAAACTTCCCTCCATTTGTTGGGAAAATTAGCATCTACGTTCAGTGGTTTTCAACATTAGTTTTGCACAATTTAATTAATTTTAGTCCACTTGAGTCTTTTTGGTAAGCTTTGCACAATCACTTTTAGGTGAAAAACGGGGCGTGGGCTGACATTTCCGCTTTTCTTATATTTTTAAAGCTGGTTCCAAAAGATAGATCATATTATCGGCCAGATTAGAACTTGCACTGTCCAAGTAAACCTCTTCGGCCCGATTATAACAATTTATTCCTCGCCCACGCGCTCAATTTATTTTGCTAAACCCCCGCTACGATCAAATTTGACCCCCGGCCATTCAAAAAAGTTGCGAAAAAATGGGAAATTATGTGTGTGGGTTTTTTTGGAAAAAACGGAGCGTTAAAAATGCCCTATTTGCCCCCGCAAAAATAATTGACAGCCCAGGGCAGCGCTAATTTATTGGGGTATTGGTCGGGATTCAATTCAGACGGGCCGGGGCTGAATATGATTAACCCGGTGGCTAGGGGAGCTGTTTATAATGAGGAAGCCAGGGCCGCTATTTTTCAAACAACTTGTTTCAGACGGCGGCGTGTGATTTTAACTCGTGGTTTGGTCATACTTTGCGCGTTGGTGGTTGTCACGCTTGCTTACAATTCAAAAAAGTTCGCAACGTAGTTTCATTTCGATTTCAATTTGATGTTGTTGTTATGTTGTTGAATCCTTTCGGTTCCGAATGTTTAGAAGCGGGTGTTTCGACGTTTTCGGAAATTTTTTGGTGCTTTTATGTCTTTTTTGCTGTCACGCTGAGACTCTCCTGTCATGCTTTGGGTTTTACTGCGATCCCAACACGCGAAGCAGCCAGCTTCGCGGCTACGCAGAGCAGTAGCCTCAGCGTTACGCAGCGCAGCAAGCTCAGCGCCTCGCAAGGTAGCGCAGTCTGCGCTACACAGCGCAACACGCTCCGCACCACGCAACGCAGCACGCTAGAGCCGCAACGCAGCACGTACCGCGCCGCGCAACGCAGCATTCAGAGCTAGTAAGTTTTATGGATATTCCATGGATTGACGGTTCCGCGGCATGCAACAAACCTGCCAGCTACGCAAAAATTTCTTTTTTTTGTCTCTTTAAAATTGTTATAGCCTATATTAACTACATCTTCAAGCTTTTCAAACCACATTTCTTCCGATTCTTCCGGCCAACCTGAAATTTAGCAAAAACCTAACCACCAATTTCACTTATTTGCAGCCCGGATGGCTCTATACTTACTCGCCGTAAATCCCTATATTCCATGAAAAAATTGACCCCTTGACTCCCCAATTGGGTTCTGATTTTTGAGCAGAATTCCCCGGCAATGAGCAAAATCCGCCCTGGAAGCCGGACTTTTTGGAAATTAAATTTTGAGAAACTCGTGATTTTTGGGAGATTTGCCGAAATTTCGTATCATTGGATTAGTCGAGATAAGTTTAAAAATAAGTTTTGTTGGAAAGTCTAGGAGTTTTGGTGTTTTATTTTCCACCCGCCCTGCCTGTTAGTAACAATTAGCGCTTATTCTTATGGCATTTTTTAATAGTTTTTAATTACTAGAAATTTATAAAAAATTTTAAAAGATTTAGAACGGTCTAAATTTAAAATTTTTGTTGTGTGTTGTTGTTGTTGTTTTTATCGATTTTTATAATTTTAACTGCTTATTCGGTCTAAAGGATTCACCCTTTTTTTATTCGCAAGCTTTGCTAATGATATATACTTCGTTATAGAGCGCGATACGACAGCAAAAAATTACCCCGCCCCCCGCAAAGAGAGAAGTACCGTTTACGAAATCGAATCTAGTGACAAAATGCCATTTTGTATTTTTTTCAATTCTCGTTTGGAAACGTACCGTTTCTTTCATGAAAGTACACCTTACGGATGACTAATTTCCGATTGAAAGCAGAAAAGACATTTCACATGGCCAGTCTGTTTTCCCTAAAATCACTCCCCCTGTCCCTCGGTTTCGCAGGCCGTTGGCACCTAGCCAAACGGCTATTTCTCAGTCTGTTTCTAGCGATTTGTGGGTGGGGATGGGGAGAAAGAAGTCCATTAGCTGTTTCTCACCTCCCTCGCACTGTATATATTTTCTATCAGAAGCTCTATGCGAGAGAAAGAAGCGGGAGACTGAGGCTAAAAGTGCTCGTTGTGGGGCCCCCGTCAAAATATTTGAAGCGATTGGGTTTGGCTTGGGGGGGTGTTTCTTGAAAAGAAGTGTATAACTTCAGCGGGTGGCTTTTTTTCTAGCTATTATGGGCCTGGCTTTGGCTTGCTATGCTCCAGAAATCGAAACTGTAATTTTGGATTTCTGTCTAATTCACGCATTAATGAGATCCGTAAAGATCGGCTTAATAAATTCGGCTAGGCTTTACTCGTCTATGTTACCAATTCGGCCTTTCAATCCCCTTTCAAAAAATATCAGGATAGAAAACTAACGAAAATGACATTTTTTTATGTTCTTGAAGGCGTAGATTATGGGTTCTTTCGTCTAAGTATTAATGCCACCCCTGCAAAATCCAGTGGTAAACCTCTTTGTCACATTTATTGACGCAGGCGGTGACTGCTGTTTCGGATTGAAATCATCGTCTTTTGTCATCTTTCCACACGGCCAACGGCCACCATGAAAACAAGGCTTCCACACCCAGTGGGGGAGGCTTTTGAATAGCTATTAATAGCGGGTGGGGGCTGCCTATTTCGTCTGAATTCTACCTCACAAACAAAGCCAAAGAAACAATCTGATACCCTAAATTCTATAGTACCATATTGCTGTCGTAGAGTATATATTCATGATGGTTTCTCTCTCGCTCTCTCTCTCTATCTCTCTCGCCCGCTCTCTGTCTTTCCCTCTCTTATTACTTCTCCCCCTCCCCCCTCTCTCTCTCTCTCTCTCTCTCTCTCTCTCTCTCTCTCTCTCTCTCTATCTCTCTTGCTCGCTCTGTCTTTCCCTCACTTATTACTTCTCTCCCCTCCCCCCTCTCTCTCTCTCTCTCTCTCTTTCTCTCTCTCTTTCTCTCTCTCTCCTTCTCTATCTATCTCTCTCTCTCTTTCTCTCTATCTTTCTCTCTCTTTCTCTCCCTCCCTCGATCCCTCTCTGTGCTTACGCTGAATCTAAAGGTATTCTAACCATAAGTTTTTCCAGAATCCAACTATCCCTCCAATCGAGATGGCTGGTCTCCTACCGCCACTTCAGAACGTCGGCCCTCCGCTGGACGTAAGTGCATAGGTGTACATAGGTGTACAGGGTAGTCGACACAACATTACCACTACTTTCTGGGCCCTATTCTCTTCCGATGCTTTTCGCTATGACCTCCCTCGGCCAGGAGATTTCAAAAATAAAGGCAAAAGGAAGATGAAAACCCGAACTAACTGCCAATTACGTTTCTGGTTACGAGCCTTTTTGATTGCACTGGGATTCTTAGGTAACGGTTTTAGGTATCATACAAAGCAGGACCCTTGTGTTTTGCTTCCCCACGTGGCCAGGTGTAAGTCGGAATTGGGGATGTAAAAATAATTGAATTCCTGGTACCAAACCGGGGGTTCAGGCAGTTTTTAGAGGGTATAAAAAATGTACATCTCTGGCTGGGAGGGGTCCAAAAGTGATAAATAGAGTCCCTCAGTTCACCTAACTTACTGTAAAGTGTTTTCACATAGGCTGGAAATTCCATTCAGGACCAAGCCTATCTTGTGCAGAATTTTTCGCTGATTTAGAATCTGTTTTCCAAATCTGCTGAAGAGCCCGCTTTAAAAAGTTACATAGATTTTTTTAAATAACTGGCCGAAAATAGTCGATTTTAAAACCCTCTAAAAATCTTGTAGAAAACTTTCTGGATAAACACAGGCCACATTCTGGGGTAAAAAAAGATGCTCTTTCGAATGAGCTAACTCATAAGCCTGCAACTCAAAATTTTTGGAATACGACTGATTTTTCAACTAGCCGCTTGGGTCTACCACTGTCCCTTGCCCCGACAAAAACTTTTTTAACCAATTTTGCAAAACGTGTCCGTGACTTAGCTCATTTAAAAGAGCAGATTTTTCTACCCCATAGTATGGTTTGTGTTTATCCAGAAAGTATTCTACAAGGTTTTTAGAGGAATTTAAAATTAACTAATTTCGGCCAGTGTGTTTTAAAGCGGGCTCTTCAGCAGATTCAGCTTCGGAATCAGCGAAAAATTCTGCACAAGATAGGCTTTGTCCCGAATGGAATTTCCATCCTATGCGGAAACACTTTACAGTTAAAAGAAGCTTATAAAGCCAAATTACACCTGCTAGTTTGCCCTCTATGGAGAGCATTTTCCTGAAGAAACTTTCCTAGCCGTTACCGATTTTTGAGATGCCTCAATTTTTTGTGCTAGCTTGTCGAGAGGCAGTTGGTGCTAAAGCCCTCAAAATCCTCTGCTAGCTGCCTATGCAATTTTGCTGCTAGCTTGCCTTGTCATATCTTTCTTATCTCATTAGCTCTCTCTCACCCACAAAAAAACATAATGATTCTGTAGTATCACGCTTCATCCCCCACGTCATTCCACTTCCGGCCCTTACTCGAGTATTTGTGCGACCCAGGGCAGGTGGAATATTGTACGAAAAAGACTTGATCTGGTCGCCTTTTGGCCGCAAATGTTCATCCACTTGGCGTCACAGCTGGCTGAAACATTTTTTAATAACATTCTGCGGGCTCGGCCAAGGTCTTTCGGATTCCGAAAACGGAAACGAGGCTAAAAATTAATATTAAATTTTCAATCATAATAATGCAAAGACAAGCTATAAATATACAATTTTTATTGCGTAGTTCCTACGGTTTTTAAAAAGTTTCCAAAACACTTCCGAGCAATTTTTGAATTTTTGCAATTTAGTTTTAGTACCGTAGACTTTACAACTGTCTACGGTATTTTTAAATACACGTAATGTATTTATGAATGAAATTACATGCCCTCGGTTCTCTTGAGAATAGCTGATTGCCGTTTTTGGAATTTTACGCCTCCTTAAAAACATCGTAAAAAAGGATTAAATGATATCATCTGCTCAGTTACTAATAATTCTTAGAATTTCGGTAATAGTAAGTTTTAATGTAACCTAAGTTTTAATGTAGTTTTACCTTTTATTTGATTAAGCTATTTTTCCCGGCTCTAATGCGTTTTAACTAAAGCCTTTTAAAGCCTAAAATTCCTAAAGTTTTAAGGCACGCTTCCAATCTGATCATTGGTCAAAATAAGTTCAAATCTCATTTTTCAGTTATTTATCCAATCCTGATCCCCTACCGTACATCAGTATCTGGCCCCGCCAATTTTTTTGATTAAAAAGTATTCCTGTCCCGGGCGTTTTTTGAAGCATTCGTACTCCCCGATCTCGGGTGAAGCCCAACAAAAAATTTCGGCAGCACTGCCAGATTAGAAAAATCCGAAAAACGTTATTTTGGTTATGGTGGTAGACCAGAAATCCCGGTGAAAACACTTCCATTTCCAGGCGACGATCCGTGTCAAGCAGGAAGTGCAGTGTTTTGAAGGTATCCTAAAAGTTTTACTTTTTAAACGAATTTTGTACCCTTAGACGAGCGCCCGATGTCGAATGGGAGTGAAAACAGTTTGGAGCAGCAGATGAATGGCAAGAATAAGAAGGCAAGCTGGGCATCGGGGAAGCCTGAATAACCCCGTTCGCGTTATTTTACGTCACCTTATGCCTATGTTGTTTGCGTAACGTCGCGATGCGTTGCATTGCGATGCATTCTGTTGCATGCGTTGCCTTACGTAACGTAGCGTGGCGCTGCTTACTAGCGCAGCGTTACGTTGGCTCCCGTTGCTTGCGTAGCGATGGTTTGTGTAGGGTTGCGTTACCTTGTTTGCATTGTATTACGTAGCATAGTGTGGCGTCGCGTTCCATTACGCTGCGCTACGTTACGTTACGCCTGTCGGGGCTTCTAGAACGTACCTCTTTTCAGCCAAAAGACCGCATCCGACGGCCGATGAACGCGTTCATGATTTTCTCCAAGCGTCATCGACCGATGGTCCATATGAAGTACCCGAATAAGGATAACAGGACGGTTTCAAAAATTCTGGGAGAATGGTGGTACGCGCTGCCACCGGAGGTATGTTAAAGATAATACCCTAAGGCCCAAAAACAACTTTCTAAACTTATTTTTGTAAATTGGCTTAACCCCACTTTATAGGAAAAGCAAACCTACCATAAAATGGCCACGGAGGTCAAGGAGCAGCACTTTAAGGTACCACTTTGATGGATTTCAGACCCTTCGAACCTGAAATCCACCAAAATTATAAATTTTCCAGGCCCACCCGGACTGGAAGTGGTGCACGAAGGATAAGCGGAAGGATGGGATGGACTCTAACACTCCTCCAAATTCGGTCCTACCTCCACCTCCTCAACCCCAACCTCAACCTCATCCACCAGCACCAGTTCAACAGTAAGTTTTTTTGATCGTATAAAACCCTTTCCAATCTTCAAAAACTTGTCAAAATGCGTTAAAATATCTAGCTTTATTGCTTGTCCAGATAATAGTTTCTAACGCCAAAGCTTTGTCCGCGTCACTAAAACGTCAAAAAATTCCGGTCTTCAGAGACATCAAGCCGTTCCCGATGCCAATCTCGCAACAATTTGCCCCACCGCAGCCGCCGGTTAGTCGCCAGAATCCGACTCCACCGACACTGAATTTCACGCATCGGCCTGCGCCTCAATTCCACCGTCCTGCTCCTGTCACTTCGCTACAGCAGCCGATGCCTCCAATTCTACAGGTATTATTGCACCTCTGCATTGTCAGGATCTCTCTCTCTCTCTCTCTCTTTCTCACTATCGCTCGCTCTCTCTCTCTCTCTCTCTCTCTCTCTCTCTCTCTCTCTCTCTCTCTCTCTCTTGTAAGCGTGTCTACCAAACTAGGCTAGTCGTATCATATCAACTACAATCCTCCAAAACTTCTAGCGTTTTTCAGTCCTTCCAGATGCCCCAGGCCTGCCAGCCGCCACCTTGCACAAGACCTCAATCCGACCGGCTGGCCCGTCTTTTTGTGGAAGGTCTCGATCCGCATACATTGAGCCCGTTGACACCGGTAAACCTTCAAGTTATTCTCGTTGAAATATATTTTCTGAATGATCTTTAACGATCTTATTATTTAGACAACTCGCTCCTCGTTCTTCAGCCTTGCCGGCAATGAGGTTCCAGTCGAGTCTCAAATCCTCTCCCCATCCTTCAAGCACTTCCCTATTTTGCTGCCGACGAACAGGTAAGGGTTTCAAGGCCAAATGGAAGTTCAAAATTAACAGTGAATTGATAATTCATATATAATTTTAATTTTCAGTATTCCCTGCTCTCCCCTGTTTCAAACGGCCGACTTCAACTTCTTGATGAAAACTATTGCGACGAGTCAGCAACAAACGGCGACGACACAGGTTGGTAGAGACCGAGAGACAGAAAGAGTTAGAGAGAGATTGATAGAGAGAGATAGGAAGACAGAGCGAGATAGAGAGAGACAGAGATAGAGAGATAGACAGAGAGAGACAGAGAGAGACAGAAATAGTTAGAGAGAGTGCTAGAGAGAGGCAGAGAGACAGAGAGAGAGATAGAGAGAAAGAGAGAGAGAGAGAGAGCGAGAAGAAAAAACTCCAAAAAAAAATTAAAATAGATGCTTCATACCGTCCACGCGTTTTATATTTCTGCGTAAAAGTTGCGGGCACTGTCCTTTTGATGACCGATTATTTCATAGAGTTACTGTAGAGGATACGGTAGAATTTACCATTTTTAGGTCTTCCCCCAATCGATCCCGGCACCCCCAACGGTAGTCTCGGTTGCTCCAGCGGCTGCCCGTCCTCCACCACTTCCAACATTATCATCGCTCCAGCCTCCAATATCTCCGCTTACTACTGCTATCATGTCGCCATCATTTGCATTCAGCGGATCGGCATTCACGCCCCATTACTCGACAAAGGATAAGCTGTTGTCGCCTTTTATGGTGGGTTTTATGGAAACTAATTTTGAATCGGTGCTTTGGAAAAGGCCAAAAAGGGAGAGGGAGAGAGAGAGAGAGAGGGGAGAGTGAGAGTGAGATAGAGTGCGTGTGGGAGAGTGAATGTGTTAAAGAAAGTGAGAAAACAAGTGCGAGACAGCTACTGCGGGAGAGCGACCGAGAAGTAGAAAGAGCGTGAGAGAGACCGAGATAGAGAGCGAGTAGGATGAGAGAGAACAGGAGAGAGAAAGAGAGAGACAGAAAGAGAGAGAGAGCGAGAGAATGAGAGAGAGACAGCGGACCAGTGAGTAAGAGCTCTGCTAAAAACAGTCCCCTCAACCACTAAATGATTTCCTGTTTTTCAGCACGCCACCTTCCAACTGCCGCTCCCTGCTGATGCTCGTACAAACCCATTCCAACCGCTTCCAACGCATCCCGCCGAAAAAGACGATAATATCCACCGCCCGACACCATTAGGTAATTTGCGACCCAGAGCTTGAGATGCCTTAAAAATGCTTATAAGAGACTTTAAGCATAAAAACCTATAGAAATCTGCGAACGTTAGCAACCCGCACTTTCAGAACTCTTCCTTTCAGCCCCAGCCTCGCCCCGTTGGCCAACTACCGCATTGGCTAGTCCTCTTCTGGGAGTACCTTTCAGTCCTCTTGACCTATTGGCGGGTACCTTACCGATGGCCAGTCAAATGCTGTAAGTTCCGGAAGATCCTAAGGCATTACTGGACTACCGTACCACCGAGATCCGAAGATTTTTCAGGCGAAATACGGAAGAACCGGCACCGTTTGTCCTGGCTCCGACTCCAGCTCAGCTCGGACGAGCTCGAGGCCAGAAACGCTTGTCGAGCTCGATGTCACAGGATTTGGATGGGAAGACGGATGGAGAGGGAATGGATGATGAGCCCGCTTCGGTCGTGGAGTCGATTCCGGATACGCCGAGCTTTCCGTTGAGTACACCGGTTGCGTTGAAGCCGTCGATTACGCTGAATGATTCGCAGGTAGGGCAGGGAGAGAGAGAGAGAGAGAGAGAGAGCGAGAGAGAGAGAGAGAGAGAGGTGGAGGAGGAAGAGTGAGCGAGATCGAGAGGCAGAGAAATCAGTTAAAATTCTTTTTTTAGGAAGCCATCGACGTCGAGACGCTATCCTCGGGAAATGCCTCCACTTCGGGAAGCACTGCTACCGGAAACAGCTTCTTTGCCCAGGCCGACAACGAGATCAACAAGTATACAAAATTTTCAGCAGCGAATATCTGCTTTTTAGGGCCCTAAACAAGGTGGCCTACCAGGATAAATTCACCAATGTTCCATTTGCGGTATGTTTTGAATTTTGTAAATGCCATACCTTTTTTAATGTTATCCCAATATTTTTGACTTCACGTAACGCGAAGTTACGCTACGGTACACTACTTTGCGATACGTTCCGTTCAGATGCCCGTTACAACGTGCCCTTCCACGCCCTCATTTTTGGTGCAATCCTTCCTGGACTCGACGTACAGCCAATGCAGCACTACGACGTCTACGCCGACGGCCAAGTCGCCGGCTTCGGCGGCTTTGACTACACAGGTTTGGTCTTGAAATCAATAAAGATCCATGGATCATATTCGGTATACTTTTAATACACTTTATCTTTAGAACCCGGTGTTCTTCCCGCCAAATTTCGACATGCCCGAAGCCCCGCCAAAGCCTCATGTTATGCAAAAGTCGAATTCGGTGGGTTTTTTAGATGGCGTTCCCGGCTCAGAGTGTTTATTAATGCGCTAAATAAAGTGATAGTTGTATCAACAATTTTTAGAACACCTCCCTAACCGATGACAGCTCCAACGGAAATCCAGTAGAAAAAGTGTCAAGCCGAAAGCTTTTGGAACAACGTCGTCAACTTGTCATGACGCTGCTGGAAACGGCTGGGCTATTCCCGAGTGGTAAGTTAGCAAAAGGGGACAGCTAGCGGAGATTTTTTAAGATTTCAGGCTTCGCACCGAGACTTTTCTGAAACACTAAAAATTTTGAATTTTTAGGCCATGAGATCAATGTCTTCCAACAGACCCACAAGGCCATCTTCCCGAACAAACAGACATTGATACTGAAGATTCGCGAGGTTCGCCAGAAGACAATGTCCATGCATAATGGGACGTTCCCGAAGAGTGGTGGGTTTTGATTGGATTTGTGCAACCTATAGATGGTAACGGTCCAGAAAAAAGGTGCATTGCACGAACGACACCAGATATCGCGCTGTGTTTCAAGCTTTCAAGCTTTTACCTGCGTTTTGCGGAGCAAACCTTAGAATGTAAGAACCTGCTTAGGGATAAGCAGTTTTCGGGCGTCTAAAATCGATAAAATCCAACCCCGACGTTACAGGTGTAATTTGGCGCGTCGTGTAGTTGTCGATTGTCAGTCGCTGTAAGGGTCGATTCTAATACAGGCAAAGACCCAAAGGCAAGAAAACGATACGTATTTTGTTTGTAATGGGAGTCAGCCAGCTATTTCACTGCGTAAAGGATCGCGACTGCGTGCGGTGCGGGGTTGCGTCGCGGCAAAAAATACTTGATGGATCCAGCGTGTTAGTTGCAGGCTTTAGAGAGACTACCAGTCGCAACGCGACCGCATCGCACGTAGAAGCCTTTTAAAGCGCACGTTCAGGGAGGGGCGGTGTACTCCGTCCCAACGTGTACACCCTATGGACGTAGGGACCGCGCGCACTGCCTGCCCGTGCTGTGACAGGCCATTCCCCTCCTTTGCGGCGTGGGGCGCCCCTCGCCCCCTCGCCAGGTTGTAGCTGCGGCTGACTGGTATCCATCCGCGCCTCCCGAGCGGGAGGCCCGGGTTCGACCCCCGGCCGCGGCAAAAATCTTTGCTTTTTTCCAAAAAAACGTCCCTGAACGTGCCCTTTAAGTCTACTTGCAAACTTTTTTTTGAAAGATTTTTGGCTAATTTCTCCATTTTCAGAAGTCAAAGCCGAGCCGCTGGCTGCTTAAGAAGTCTTCCCTCGTCAACTAGCAGTGATTCTTTTGGGAGCATCAATCTCTTATGTTTCTCAAAAACGTTATCCTGTATCAGGGTTTTTAACAAGTAAAAAAACACCCACATATCCACTCCCCAATCGACTTTCAAACCCTTGTGCAAAATACTCTCGATTCTAGTCCCCCAAAAATTTCATGTGAGTTCAAGAATGTGATGAAATAAAATTTTTATGTGGTAGCTTTAGGCAATCTGGTCTGATTTTTGTGTATTTTTGCTTATATTGTTTTGTTTCTCTGCGTCTTATTACTCGAAAAAAATATTTTTTTTGCTACTCCTCTCAATGTTGCCCACCACCGAAAATACATGGTCCTCCACTATCCTAATTTATTAACATGTATACACCCTGTTTTTGTATCTGAAAATTGAAATATATGCTGAGACCGATAAATTTTTTTATGTTTTTGGATTCACGCAGAAATGACAACTAGCAGACATCATTGGGGACTCGAATTCGCTTTTAATTTGGAGGTTGGATGACGATTTTGAGCCTAGGCGACTAGCAGAGACTGTTTAATATTTGTATCTTGTCTGGCTATGGAGTAGCAACTAGCAGAGATTCTTTAGGATTTAAGGTTCTGGCAGCATAGCCACTAGCAACTAGCGGAGATGCATCAGGGTCTTTGAATTTTTTGAGCCGTGGCATTTAGCAAAGAAAATTTGGCGGTATGTTTTTGGGCGAAACGAGCAACTGGCAGAGATTCTTTGGCATTTGCACCTTGGTTGGCGATAACCCGGTAAACTAGCAGGGATGCTCTATTCACATTGGGTTTCAAAGCAGGGCACCTAGCAGAAATCATTCGGGAAATTGATCTTTTGCTGTGAAGGTAAAGGTTATAATAATAATAATTTATTCAACACTAAGGTTTCAATGAGAAACGCTTAAAAGTGATGGAATATGATATGAAAAACGAGAAAGAGGAAAAAAATGGAATAGGGCTCCAGGAGTTGCGCCTAATAGATAACCAGCAAAGATTCTTGAGGCTTCGAAGAGAGAAGCAGGGTTAGACGCAACTAGCGTAGATTATTTTGGGTCAAAATCTATGTAGAACAAGTGCCGAGCAAGGATTATTGCCGAATCTAAAAGTCTTCTTCAGCGCCGCCTAAGGGTCGTAGGCCAAAAAAGGCTAGCAGAAATTCTTTGGGAACTGCGTCTGCCCAGAATTTTACTCGCTAACATATCATTACCAATATCCCCGGCTTTTCGCAGGTTTCATCCAGCTCTCACCGAATGCTCGTGCTCCTTTTTTGGGGGTAACCGGGGCATGGCGCGCGAAGCTCCGCCCACCCACCGGGTTTCAAGCTTCCACCGAGCAGCTCTTTTGGCACTCCCATACGAAAATGTTAGCATTATTTATTTTCTTGTTGCCGCTGGTCAATACGGAATTGACCTCATACAATAAGCAGCTGGAATGGATTGCCGGGCATTGGAGGAGCGAATTTTCGGGCAAGGTGAGGGTTTTTTGCGGATTTTTTAGAGGATTCCTAGTGTTTCAAATCAGGCAAGCTAGCAGAGATTATTTGAGACAGCTCACAAAATTTTAGAGCGCCGAATCCGTAAAAATTGGACAGACTAGTAGTTGTCATTGGGGGGATAGTTACCTTTTTCGCTCGTCGATATGCAAAATTCAGGAAAAAGTCTTTTTTTGAAAGTTTTTTTGCGTATTTATGGTTTAATTTTGGGATTTTTATAATCTATTAAAACATTTTTACAGGTTTTCTGGCCCACCGTACCCACGATGACGTTTGGTGAAGAACTGAAAATCATGGAGGCGCCATTAGCGAAGAGCGCCAATGTGCAGTTCCTCAATTTCTCGTGAGTTTCTTTGAGAATTTTACAGCCTTATTACTACCGTTTAATTGGTTTTCGATTTTGCTAACCATTTTCTGCCTCATTCTTTTTACTTCCCCCTCATCACATTTCACTTTCCATATATGATAGTGCCTTTTTGATGCGACAGGCCGCACGAGTGGAACCCGGAAGAAAAGTGAAAAAAAAAACCCAGAGAGCATGATAAGAGAAAGCGATTGTTAATGCTACACTTCTGGACCTTTTCAAGCATTTCTAAGTTAAATCAGCCGTTTTTGACCATTGGTTAGGCCTGGAAATAATATAAAGCGGTGCCTCCTGAAAAATTTGCATGAAATACCGAATTCATAGCGATTTCCTCGTTTGTCCATGTTTTTTTAAATTAACACGGTTTTTCCTTTCTATAACTGGTTTTGACAATTGCCGGATGTTCGAAATCACTTATTTCATCATTTTCGATATTATTCTACCGTTCTGCCCCTGAGTAATCGATATCTAATGCCGTGTAGTGTCGCGTCGACCCGGGAGGAAACGGGTTCCATGCTTTTTCCTCATCCACACAACCCCTAGAGGGGGAAGGGAGGATGGAGCCGCCTAGGCTGTGTTGTCCGCGCCATTGCTTTTTACGCCCACGCGTACCCGATCCCCCTCACTGTTCCACAACCATTGCCCTCGATGGCAAATTGGGAGGTGGTGTTGGAATGGAAAAGATATGATGATAATTCTGGGGGCAGGAAATGGAATGTTTTAAAGGGTCTCACAGTCAGTGGCAGCTAGTTCCGGATGTTGTAGATGATTTTCCTAAACGCTCTTTGCTCGATGATCGGTCGTAGTTTTTTGGGCACTAATAACGGCTTCAAGAGAGTTTACAAATCAATAGCGTTTCATTTCTGAGGATTTTCCTAACTGATACGGGCTAGGAACAGACCCAATAGGTACTAGTGAGCTATCTTCCTTAACCTTCACCCAAAAAAGCTTGTTACAGCTCGAAAACTGTATGCAAAATTGTAAATATAAATATTTTAACCTAACCTTAAAAGCATCTAACGTTAATTTGAACGTTTCTGCATTGATAAGCCTCTTTAAGGGGCGAGAAAGGCCAGGAATCGACCGATCTATCGACTAGATCTAGCCAACTATGTGATGCACCAAAAGGCGTTTCCAAGCTTATTTTTCAAGCTCGAGGGCAGGAGTTTGTCACTCCGTGTGACGATCCGACTGACTCAACGCATCTTTTGCTGCAATACGTAGTTATCGGAACCTAGTCAACGTGGGGGTCGAATCTGATGCTTTGAAGTGTCTTTGACAGAAAAACAATTTTCTTTTATTCCATTTTTCAGCGCCCGAGCCTGGTCCCACTCCACCAAGGATCACTTCCACGATGAGTGGGGATTCGTCACGGCCGATCCCTCTGGAAATGTGACGCTCATGACTTCAGGAAATAACGGTATGGTAGAAACATCTTAATCACATTAAAAAGCGTCAAGCTGATACGGAAAGCCATTTAATATGCGTTTAGGCTTCACAACCTATGAAGTCGGACACGTGTCCCACAATCGATTGGTGCTGACGCTGAAGGATATTGGGCGGATATCCTTTTCAAGGGATTTGCCGGTGGAGGATGTGAGTTTCTGCATCTCTCTTTCACTCTCTCTCTCACTCTCTCTCTCTCTCTCTCTCTCTGTCCTGACCCTTTAAAATCAACATTTTTTTCTAGCTCCGACGTACTTTCGTGCGCCACGACGATCGATACCTCGAGCAGGTTATCGAAATGAGGACCGCTACCCATCCAAAGGTAAGCTTTTAATAGAAAAAAGATGTAATTACGGTAGAATAATGTGTATCCATCAAAAAGAGCAGTAAATTAAATATTTTTTTCAGCAAGGATACTTGGAGCACACGCGGGTCGTCTACACCAAAATGGATTGAAGAACCAGAGGGAGATTTTCGATTTAAAAAATTTTAACTTGACGTTTACTACCACGGGAATAAACGGATATGTACAAAAAGGTGTACAAAATGCACCGTAATGCGGAAAGAAGATCAAAATGCGAATATATGGATGTTACTGGTCTTCCAGCAACTTTCGCTCCTCTCGCGCTCCATTACACAGCTTGTTGATCTGCTCGACTTGGCGTTTGATCTGGAAATGGGAGTTTTGGCAAGATTTTAGTAATTTTGAATTGATCGCTAACAATAACTTTACATAGATTCAATACCCTTATGATTTTATTTTTCCAAAATTTTTTGCCTGCGGCGTTGTTTTTCCCTATTTTTAACACTAGTTTTAGTGTTATAAACCCTATGTTTTCAAAAATTTTGCCTGCGGCGCTGCAGTTTTAGTCATATTAGTAAAAAAGTTTTACCGCCCCCCCCCCCCGAAATTTCCGGGTTTGTTACGGCCCTGATTATGATCCATGTAATCGTGGATCGGCATCGCTCACGTTGCGTATCACGATGCGAAAAACTCAGAAAAATTCATTGCCACAAAGTCATGCCTTTCAAAGGCTGATTCTAAACACTCACCTCATTCCAGTCCTCCTTCGCCAACCCTGTTGGTCCACAGAATTTCGCTTCTTTCGCTGCCTCTTCGCAAATCTGAAAGAGAATCTGATTTAAGTTGAATCCTTATTACTCTCTCAAAAACGGCTCAAAAAAAAGGAGAATGAGAAGAGGGCGAGCTCATAAAGATTGTTAGACAATACCGGCGCAATTAAATAATGGGTGTTAGCTAGCAACTTACATTCAACGAATCCTCATCCACCACATCCAAATAACTTTTTCCGAGTTTAGCGAACCCAAGGTAGATCTGAATTTTTGGTTGTTTTTGTTTCTAAACGTGAATCTTACCTCTAACCTTTCCAGGTTATTCTTTTCTTTGTAGGTTTTTCGCAGGGTCTTGAAGAGCTCGAGGTACATTTCCTGTAAAACAGAATAGAACGCACTAATAAAAATTTTAAGGTAGTTTTTCAGGCTTTGGAAAATGTCGAAAGGCGAAATGCCCCTGGGATAAAGAGCACCTCGAGGGTAAACTCAATATATCCAAGGTTGCCACCATCTGCCTTACGAGTAGGAAAATACCAAAGCGCGCCGTGTGTAAAGTATAGAGAGTCGGTCGTTCAGTGGATTTTGGTCAAGGTTTAATGCATATGAATGTAATGCAGTTATTGAATAGGATAAAGATAAAAAGGGTTTATTAGAGAACCACAAATACACCTAGAGCAATAGTAGGAAAGGAGAGTGAGATGCGGGGAATGCACCGTCCCCTTTCGGGGACCGTTGCCCTCTCTCAGCCATGGGCCAAGCGACGAGGGAAAGGCTCAGTACATTCCCCACTAAGTGAGGAACTTCCCAAAACCTCCCCCAATCAGGGGGGCAACGTTGGTGGATCACAATGCTGGGCGTGGGACAGCTGGGCGTTCGGGTATTCCCTTTGGGAATGAATCCCGCCCGAAATATCATGGATTTCCCTCAGAGAGGGAAAACGCCAATAAATCGAGAGCTGGTTTCCTCGAGAGAGCCCACTCCCCTGGGCGCCGCCCTACGGTATAGGGGGCGCGCAGGGAGAGCGTTGCGGGACCACCCCCGCCTGGGCATTTCCCTCGAAAGGGCCATGCGGATTCGGGAATCCGGCATGGAACTTTCGACAGAAAATATACAAACTTTTTTGTTTCATGAAAACATTTTCATGCTAAAAACAACCAAATTTAGCAACGTACCTTTGCCCTGCACCAAACATTTTCCCGTTCCTCTTCTCGGGCTGATCGGTTAATTTTCGAAAAACAATCGTAAATTCCATCCGAATACGCAACAGCTGCTCGAGGTTCTTTCCTAAACCAGGAACTTTAAATTTAATGAAAATCATAAATCAGCATTGATACAAGGTTTCGTTCATTAGTTTCATTTTTATTATTGGACCTGTATATCTGATAAAAATCGTGAGCTTACTTACGCAATAGATACCCCTTCCAACAAATCGATCGCTTCATAGCAAGCTTCTTTTTTGGACTCGAAACTTGCGCTAAATTGACGTGGGTTAACGATTCGCGAATTTAAAGGACCTGGTCATTTTCTCTGTCAGGATATAACACAGCGTTTCAACTTCGCGAACTGAGAGCTCTGTTTCCTAAGTTGTGAACTTATGAAAATCGACAATCGATACCTTGTCTTCCACATATTTTCTGATCAACTCCAACGCTTCCGCCGATCCACCGGCATCGTGGAGGCTCCGTGCTTTGTCGAAATCGTCTGTTCGGCTCATCTCTGTAGAAAAGTTTTGTGGGTTTGGAGGAATATGGACTAAAGGGATATAGTCGTAAACCGGGAAAAATCGATACAGTGGCGTCCAGTGATAACACGTAAGTTCAAAAAAAATAGCTGGAAGTTCAAAAATACAAATTAATTATTTCAGTCCAAAAAGTTCAAAAATTATTGCTACCCGTTCAATGAATTTTGGACGGGTAATTTTGGGTTCCATGAGAGCGACTTCCCTCGCCCACCCAAAAAAATGACCATGATACCACTTCAAAAAACCTTGGTAACGCGGTGTTGTTCATTAATTCAAAGAAGATGCTAAGCGTATAATCGGAAAAAAACTAAGAATGGTAAACAAATTCCCAAAAATCTATCGATATCGTGGCTCCGAGCCCCCGGGGAGAAATGTGTGGGAGATGGGCCATTGAGTGATTTGGGTGTATGGGCCAAGAAAAGGGGCCCAGTGCCCAGGGCAGACCTTTTTTCAGGGCTTTGTCGAAATATTTCTTTCTCTTCGGCGAGAGAGATAGTGATAGACTGAGAGATGGAGCGGGATAGAGAGAGAGAGAGAGAGAGAGAGAGAGAGAGCAAGAGATAGGCTTCCGGTTAGAGATAAAGAGCGTGAGAAACGGGATATTTTGAGCCGAGGAGAGAGCTTGAGAGAGAGAGCTGCCCCTTGGCCCTATAGCCGTTGGGTATTGGGGCTGTGCATTACACTTGTGGCGGTCATGAAGAGCCCCGTCCCCTCACTATTCCACTATTTCCAGCCCTTCACCCCTAGAGGGGGGGGGGGCATGTTGACTTGGGGAGGGCCCTCTCATTGTTTGGCCCCTTGGCTTCTTGTTCACAGCAAGGTAGAGTTGGAGAACGAGAGAGAGAGCGCGAGAGAGCGAGAGAGAGAGAGAGAGAAAGAGGGGGAGAGCTAGAGAAAGAGGGGAGAGAGAGAGAAGAGAGAGAGAGAGAGAGAGAGAGAGAGAGAGAGAGAGAGTGAGAACTGTCATCTGTAGCGCAACGTAGTGGTGATCAAGACTTTATTAGCACGCTTGGAATATCCTTGGTAATGTCAGCAGGTACACATTCACAATTCGTCAAAAACACAGAAATGAGCACAAAGAAGTCAAGAATCGGGAGTCAAAAATCAGGGAAATTTATTCAAATTTAAGTAAGTGACGTGAGCTGAGTGAAATGGGACACGATTTTTTGGATGGGTTGAGCCAGAGGGACAGAGAGCAAGAGAAAAGAGCAAAGAAGCTAATAAATACACAACGCCATGCAAAATTCCGGGTATAATGCAATGGATTATGTTTGGACTAGAAATTTGTATAGGTGGCGCTAGTTTGGTGAGGAAATATGTATACAGCAAAATAGGTTAAGGCCGGCTTCGCTTATTTTTAAACTTTAAAATATTTTTAACTTACTGATGATTTACAAGATGTCATTGCTATAGTGGAAAATAAACAAATAAAAAGTTGAACTGAAAACAATATTGAAACTAATGTTTTTGTTGGGTGAGACCGATTTGTGGGGGGATTCTTATGAATCATAACATACCAAAAAAGTACAAGATCGCACTTTAACGATTATCCAATAATTTTATAGATTTTTTTACCATTTTAACATTAATACGGTGAGAAACGGCTCCGGATTTGATTATGCAGCTTTTTTAAATTGGCTACAATTTGTAGCACATTATAAAAACCTAATAAAGTGAGGGATCTCGATAATTTTGAACATGCATTTCAGTCAAAATTAGAAAATACAAAAAACAATATTGGCAGTCAATCGATCGATTGAGTAATATTACACTGGTTGATGAGAGGATGAGCTCAATTTTGGATTTTTTTGGAACACGAAAAAATCAGAAAAAGTCAGAATAAAAAAAATATTACGCAGGAGAACTAACGACACACGCTACTAACTACAAATTGGATAGATGCCGCTTCAATATGTTTTTGAGAGGTTTGAGAGATTGTCGCGAATTTAACTAAAAAAGCGTTAGTAAAAATGTTAAGTGAATTACTGCATGTTGAGCTGTTCAATGTTTTGTTTCAGGATGACTTCACGCACGTCGCGGAACACGCGACGCATGTTCTCTGTGTCGACAGCAGTTGTGAAATGGTAGAAGAACGGGCGGTGGCGCTCTTTTCGGGAGCGTTCGAATTTGTCGACCTGGAAAATCGATGGCTTAATTCGTTACGCTAGTTTTCTAGAGTCTTTTGCTCGGTATGTTTAGGCTAAAGGGTTTTGCAAGTCATGATTAGGTATTTAGATTGATTTTCTAATTAACACCCCGCGACACGCAACGCGGACGTCGCATGGCTACCGTCAAGAGCCGAAAAGAGCAAGAGGCAAGATCCATTACGCAATGGAAATAGTTGACGCGCGCTGCTTATCACGTTGCGAGCAAATTTATCTCGTATTCAAAGCCAAAAACACCACAATCCTGCCTTGAGGTCCTCTTAGGATACCATTAAGTTACCCCATACTTACCAAGAAGTACTGCACATCCCTCACATTGCGGTGATCACCTTGGAAGTCGGAGAAGTAGTTCCGGATGTCCGATTTTGGGACTTTTTCTGAAATGATTTAACGATCAGGCCTTAATTTTTTTGATACATACCAATCAACAAGTCACTCTTGTTCATGAAGAGAATGACCGAGACATTGTGGAA